CTTGTCTCTCTCACTCTCTCTCTCTTTCTCTCTCTCTCTCTTTCTCTCTCTCTGTCCCTCTCTCTCCCTCTCACCTCTCCCTCCCTCCCTCTCTGTCCCTCCTCACCAGTTTTTTCCTTCCACTGCTTTCCTCATTCTGCCTTCCCTTCTATTATTACTGTCCCCCCTGCTTCCTTGTCCCCCATCTACTTCCTTTTAAAGTAAGGTAAATTTCTGTACCTAAATGAATCTATGTATTATTCCGTTGTAGAGGCGAATCTGTTGAGAGTAAGTTTCAAGCAGTGCTCACCCTGCTCCCTCCACTCTAATAGGTCTTTCATGCCTCTCCATATGTGATAATTTACCCCAGTCTTTCTCTCCCTTCCCTCTTCTCCTAGTGCTATCCTCTTTCTCATCCCTTAATTTTTTTAAATATCATCCCATCAAAGTTAGCATATACCTGCCCCATCTGTCTATGTATACTTCTTCTAACTGCCCAATAGCGATAGTTATTAAGAGTTACAAATTTGACCTTCCCTTGTAAGGATGTAAATAGTTTAACCTTATTGAATAATTCGTTTTCCTTTTCACATTTAACTTTTTATGCTTCTCTTGATTCTTATATTTGCAAATCATATTTTGTTCGGCTTTGATCTTTCATCAGGAATGTTTGAAAGTCCTTGATTTCATTGAATGTCTATTTCCCCCCCGAAGGATTATGCTCAGTTTTGCTGCATAGTTGGTTTTTGGTTGTAATCCAAGCTCCTTTGCCTTCTAGAATATCACATACCAAGCCTTCTGATCCTGTAATGTAGAAGCTGCTAAATCCTCTGTAATTCTCAGTGTGGCTCCCTAATATTTGATCAGTTTCTTCCTGGCTGCTTGCAGTATTTTCTTCTTGACCTGACAATTCTGTAATTTGGCTATAATATTAATGAGAATTTTCATTTTGGAATCTCTTTCAGTAGGTCATTGATAGAGTCTTTCAGTTACCATTTTGCCCTCTGCTTCTAGGATATTGAGGCAGTTTTCCTTTATAATTTTTTGAGAGATGCTGTCCATGCTTTTTTTTTTGATCACGGCTTTCAGGCAGCCCAGTAATTCTTAAATTAAATTATCTCTGACCGATCTGTTTTCCAGGTCAGTTTTTCCAGTGAGATAGTTCACATTTTCATCTATTTTTTCATTCTTTTGATTTTGTTGATTGCATTTTCTTTTTTTTTGTTTGTTTGCTTGTTTTTGTCTAGGCAATGAAGTTTAAGTGACTTACCCAAGGTCATACAGCTAGTAAGTGTCAAGTGTCTGAGGCTGGATTTGAACTCAGATTCTCGGATTTGCACTTTTCTTGTTATTAGTGATTTAGAACATTTTTTCTTTCAGATTTCTTCTGAAAACTGCTTATTCATATCTTATGACCATTTATCAAATAGATACTCTCAGATTTTAGGCATTTTTATTTTTACTTTTTTAGGTTTAGAAGTTCTTTTTCCTTTTGATGGGTAAAGGATGGGTGCTGGATAGGAGCAGCTAAGTGATGCAGTAAATAGAGCCCCGGCCTTGGAATCAGGAGGATCCAAACTTGACAGTTACTAGCTGTGTGACCCTGGGCAAGTCAGTTAGCCCCCGATTGCCTCAAAAAAAAAAAAGAATGAGGACTGGACCTGTGATTTCGCTGGGTGAGGAATCTAGCAAACTACTCAAAATGTTGCCTTGACCACAGAGAGGTTAAGTGACTTAGCTAGGGTCACATAGCTATTATGTCTTAGAAGTAGGACTTGAACCCAAGTCTTCCTGATTTCAAGAAAAACCATGCTATGCTGTGCTGCATCTCTGAATAAATTAGAATGAAGATATCCTTCAGTGAAATTGGGAAATAAGAATGGATGCTGTACTTTCCTTTAATTCATTGTGCCTTTGGATTAAATCCATGAATACCCAAAGATTTCGTTTTCTTGTTGGTTTATTGCATGTAAGATTAACAGATTCTTTTTTTCTCAACAATAATAACATATTTCTCATGATTTTTTTTCTTAAAATCTTAGGTGATTTAATTTTTGTTAAGGATTTAGAGTTCATGTTTGTTCTTTTGTTGACTTAAAAAAATTTACTGTTGTTAAAGACTTTGAACTTTCTAGATGTGTTTCCTGATATTTTGAAATACTATTTAATAAGACTTATTTGAGAGTGTAAAAAGTTACAGTTGCAAAACTGCAGATGCTGTAACCAGATTTAGATTAGCTATTTGTTTATCTATTTTTGATGAGTCCATTGGGGTTAAGTGACTTGCCTAGGGTCACACAGCAACAAAGTGTCGAATTTGTGAGCCTGGTTTTAAACTCAGGTGGTTTGACTGCAGGACTCTATCTACTGTGCCACCTAGCTGCCCCTAGACCAGCTATTCTTACACTGGAGTTCATAGACTCCCAAAAGATCTATGGATAGATTTTAGGAGAGTCTTTACATTTTTTTCAATATAATTCATTTCCTTTGTTATATTATACATTTTATTTTACGTATAACAACATTATTCCAAAAGGAAGTATGGGTTCCAGCAAACTGCCAAAGGAGTCTTTGGCATTAAAAAAAAAAGAAAAATAAGAAAAAATTGCTGATCAGTTTAGATCTTTTTAAAAGCCGTTGGATGCATTGCAGTGATGTTGCTTAAGAAATATGTTGGGATTGGTTGAGAAAACGTGGTCACATCCTGTAGTTTATTAATTGCAAGCCAGTTCAGGACCAAGGGATTTGAGGTGAGGATCAAGCCAGGAGGAAGCATTCCAGCCAAATTCTTGAGAAAGAATTTCTTTAGAATGAGGAGAGTGTCTTGGGCTCAGTCTCTTTTCTATCTAATCCCTTTCCCAGAGGAAGTCCTTGTAAGTTTTGAGGGTTCAGAAGATTTTGGATTAATGGCGTCTTCTCCAGTATTGCCTCAGTTAATTAGCAACCGTATCTTCAAGATGTAGGAGCTCAGCAAAAAAACTGCGCCATGTGTAAGGGGAATTTAATGAGTTCTACACAAAATGAAGGAAAGGAATTCTTGGCAACTAGGAGCTACCATTTTGCTGCTTATGTTTTATAAGTTTGAGCTCACTTTTCCCAGCACTCTGTTCTAGTAGAAAGTGTATCACAGACTTTTCAGAGGAGAAGGATGGTTTAGTATCAGTACTTCTTACTATATAAATTTAGTAGATACTCCTTTATAAAACCTAATTAAGTTTGCCTGATTAATTGCTGTTAACTGATAATCATGTGGAGATGGCTGATGAACTATAATGTATACATACATACGTGTGTGTGTGTGTGTGTGTGTGTGTGTGTGTGTGTGTATAAAACTGTAGAAGCACATTTCTCAACCCTTCAGTGGCATCCCTAAAAGGCAATTTGCAAGTGTGTCTGTATGTTAGGAACAGGATCCTCAGTGTTTACCAAAGGGCTATATATTGAGTTCAAAGTCATCGAACATGGTAGCTACATGCTAGGTTCTGGGATTACAAAAACCAACAAAAAAACCCCCACCCAACTGTCAAAAAAACCCTAACAGTCTGTTAAGGAATAATTAGACATGTAAACATAAATATGATAGGAGATATAGTAACATGCACAAACTGCTATGAGAGGAAGGGAGAAAACAAAGATTGCTTTTCTTTCAGGGCATTATAACAGAAGACTTCAGGTAGGAGATAACATCCGTAGGAAGTCTTTTAGGATGAGAAGAATTTTTACTTTTTTATAAGTTACCAAAATGTAGCTAAATATCACTCATTTTAACCAAGTTAGTTTTATTGTAATCCTTATTTTAAGGAGGAACACTTCTTCACAGACTGCATTCAGGAGAATGTAAAAAGCCATTTGGTCCCATTGGATATCAGTTTTTTAGAGTTACAGATATAGGACCTGGGGTATAGGGTGAATATTTTTTTTACTACCAGTTACTTCGGTTATGGTGAATTGGAATTTGTAAAGGCTGCAGACAAGATTGAGTTTGATGTCAGTGTGCTTTGGCTTTCCTGCTTGGTTAAACCATTATTTCTATTATTTGTTGCTGTTGTGTTTTCTTTATGCATTTTCCATGACTTATGTTAGAAAGTAAGAATGAGTATTTTAGATTTATATGTTGTTTTAGTACGAAATCATTCATGCATTTGGCTGACACATAAGTGATTGATGTTTTCAGGTTCTACTTAGTTTTAATTGTAGCTGAGAAAGGAAATGACCATGTTAAAAGGAGAAAATAGTAAGTTTAGTATAGGACTTAAATCTGGAAAAGACTGGAATCAGTCATCAAAAGAAAGGTCAAATAGAAAATAAAAAATAATACTTGAGAAAATATACTTAGGCATTGGCTGGAAGCAAATTAATATTTTTTTTTGTGCTGTTTGTCATGGGCAGAGAATAGTTGTGATGGTGATGATGGTGATGATGAAAGCTAGTATCTATATAGTACCTCCTATGTGCTAGACACTGCTAAATGATTTACAAATAATATCTCATTTGGTCCTTACAACAACTCTGGGAGGTAGGTGCTGTTATCATTCTATGAATATGCAGTTGAAGGAAACTGAGTCAAACAGATTAAGTGAATTGCTGTTAAGGTCATACAGCTAGTAAGGCTGGTTTGAGTTCTTAAAGAATAAGCCAACTTGAGTTCTTAAATTAGTGGGGTAGCTCATTAGGGACCTCTCTTTTCAGCGAGGCTTTTCTTTTAGTTGTTAAAATATTTTACCTATAAATCTAAGGCAAATATTCAAAAAGTGGATTTTTGTTTTCTTCTATATTTGGTTTTTGCCACTGAGGTTCACAGATTTAAAGCTGAAATGGACCCTTATAGGTTCCCCCATCAAGTTTAGCCATCAGACTCCAAATCTACACAGATTTTCAGATGTGCTTGGTTTATCTAAAATAGTTACAGTCATAGTTTTAGGTTCATAGTCATATTTTACCTATGCTTAATCAAAATAATTTAGATGTAATATATTTATGTAAGTATACAAATGTGTAATAAGTATCTTTTTATGTTTCAGGATGAGACCAGCTATCGATGGGCAAGGGATGAACATCCCATAAGTAGACAGCCTGACTATAGGTAAAAAAGTGAGAATAACTTCTGTTAATGTACCTTCTTTCTCACCTGTTAGATGTGTTTTATCAGGTTTCATTTTTGGTGACTAGCATCTGAATATAAATTTCAGATAGATATCTAAAATGTCTGTATTGGGGTAGGGATATTTTTTCATGCAACCAGGATTTATTATATTCCTTTTACAGACATATTTTTATACTAGTGGTGGTAGCACTGTGCAGTACATTCATGAATGTTTTCCATCACATAACGTATTTGAATAACTACATTTACATTTTTTGTGTAATCTTTAAGCTTCAAAGAAGTAGCTGATGGTCTTTTCTCTCGTTGTTTGTGAACAGGAACTTCTAATCATACTCTCTTCATTTATGTATTAAACAAAAAAAAAATCCAAGGAATTGTTTAGGCCATAGTAAAAATTTTTCATATTTTTGAGACTCTGATATGTATGTACAAGTAGTAATACATACCTCAGTAGACCTCAGTATCATCAGTGTGCTAAGACTAAGGGTTTAAATGCTTAGTTATCTAGAAAACACATTCAGAGTGAATCATTCTCCATTGGTCAGATCACTTGAAATTTTTACTGAGAGAGAGAGAGTTAGAGAGAGTTGTGTTTATGATAGACATAGAGCTTAGGATATAGTATGCACTTAATTGATTGATCACTTGATATGGGAGGCATAGTGAATAGAGTTCTAATTCTGTCACCATAAAGACCAGGCCTAAAATCCTATCTCTGACACATCTAAGCCCATAAAAGTTCAAAAAGTGGATTTTGGTTTTCCTCTGCAGATAATTTTAGTTTTAGCCAGATGTTCATAGATTTAGAGCTAAAAGGGACATAAGATGTCATCTGATCTAATGTCCAGGCTCTTTGACTCCAAATCTCATAGAGGTTTTCAGATATGCTTGGGTTTTCTAAAATAATTCCAGTCAGTCTTAGTTTGCTCATAGTCATATTTTACCTTTGTTTAATCAAAATCATTTAAATGATAATATGCCAGTAGGTAACACTCTCAGACTAAAAGTTGCAAAGAAGATGCTGACCTGTATTGTTATAGGGAGTTTACTGAGGAGTTCCTACACTAATGAAACCACAGGTCCAGTATATATTTATATAATGTCTTACGTGTGTATATGTATACATGTGTGTATAGACATATGTAGATATAAGTATATGTGTATATACATGATAAAATCTAAGAAGATGTATAATATTTTGTTGTTTTTTTTTAATGGGAAAGGAACATTTTTCTTTCCAAGTACAATAAACATTTCCTAAATTTGCAATAACATTCATTCCTTTAACATGCTTCCTGTTTCTAGAGCATCAAACCAGATACTGGGTTATCAGACCCTATCTACCATCTCATATTCTACAAATGGGTAAAATGAAGCCCCAAGATATTAAATAACTTGCTTTAGGTTAGTAAGTATCTGTGGGGGAAAAAACTACCCTGGATGACCAAAAAGGGAAACTGAGGCAGAGCTCCAAGCCAAAACACTTTATTAAAGGGACCTGGCTCCCTTCAGTGAAGCAGACCCCGGACCTTCTTCGCTTTCTCAGGTGCCCCCTCCTTCCAGGGCCCTTATTATTGTAAGGTTGGATATCTAGACATTCAAGAGGGGCTATCAGATACAGAATAATTCCACTGGTTGGCGTATGATGCATAGGCTAAAATAAGCAAAACAATATATCATCAGGGTCATGAATTGGGCAAGGCAGGAAATATTTCCCCTGACCAGGTGGTTACAAGATGGATGGGCTATTTCTAAGGTTGGACAATAGGACATGATTCAGACTATACGTATGTCCCAAGAACATTTTTGGGGGAGCTAGAGGACTTTCTGTACCATTGCAAAACTTGTGCTTGATTGAGTCATGGAATTTGAGCAAAACAGGATGAAGTTGTCTATGTCAGGGTTCCTGCAGTCTTGTGGTTGTGCAATTAAGTTCTATGGCTGGTAAACAAGTATTAACCATTATATTAAAAGCTGGGGGCCTGTTATAGGACCTTCCTATCACAATCTATATTCTTATGCAACTTGTACAAAATATAGATTAAGAATAATTAGATGGCTAAGTATGTATTACTAGGTGAATATAGTAAAATAATTTTTGTCCCTTATGAAATAATAATGAACACACTTATACTAATTAGGGTTTGAGTAAGAGTCCTCAAGGAAATCAACTTTCTCATATCAAAAAAAGGATTTAAACCTATGTCATTAACTCCAAAGTCATATTTTTTGCCTCTGTAGCTAATTGTCTTTGCTTTCAGACGATATCAGTAAATATTTATTAAACACTTACTGGAGGAAGCTAGGCCTGGAGTCAGGAAGACTCATATTCCTGAGTTCAGATGTGACCTCAGACACTTACTAGGTGAGTGACCCTGGGCAAGTCACTTAATCCTTGTTTGCCTCAGTTTTCTCATTTGTAAAATGAACTGGAGAAGAAAATAGCAAACCACTCCAGTATCTTTGCCAAGAAAACCCCAGAGGGGTCATAAAGAGTCAGACATGACTGGAAAATGATTGAAGGTGCTTATTAAGTGCCAGGCATCGTGCTAAATGCTGGTGATGCAAAAGAAAGGCAAAAGACAGTCTCTGGCCTCAGATAGCTTGAATTCTGATGAGGGAAACATCATTTAAACAAATGTATACAAAACAGGCTTATACAGGATAAGTATAGCTTATGGTCTGTAGTGGGGTATAAGACACACACAAAAAAGAGTTTTATGAGGTTTAAAAGCAATAGGCTTTACAGAGGAGGTAACAGATTTGGTTTTTAGATGGATAGGAATTTAGCCAGTAAAGGAAAGAAAATTATATTTAAGCCATAGGAAAAAGTGTGCACAGAGGAACATACTGGAAAAAGAAGAAATTACTGTTAGTAGGGGAGAATGAAAGAAAGTAAAGTTAGTTTATTTGGAGGGTGGAGTACATGAAAGGCATTAATATGAAATAGAAGTGCGGAGTCATATGATAGAGGGCCTTGAATGCCAGGAAAAGGAGTTTAAATTTTACTTGGCAGGTAATAGGGAGTTCAGATTACATATTGGAATCTCTTCTGATTTTGCATGAGAGTGATAAATAGGTAGAATAAAGGTGAATTAAACATAAATGCTTTCATATTTTTTGTGAAACTCTAAATGGTCACATACACTTATAAAGAATTTTAACCATTAAACCTAATCTTTACAAGTCGTATTCTTATTATTTAAAATATGAATTAACAGTGTTACCAAGTGGTCAGATAAATTTCAGAAGTTAGCTTCTTTGTTTTTCATTGGTATTCATTTTTATACTTTCAAATTTTGGGTAGATTTTTAAAAGTTAATATTTCACTTAGTTTTAGATTTAGAAAAAATACCTGGTTTTTTTTTCTTTAATGGTTCCATATTTAAAAATAAGACATTTAAGAAAATGGTGAAAATATAGCTAAGTATATATTGCATAAATCATTCAGGCTTTCCTCAGTGACAGACTCTTAGGATTATAATACACTTTATAGATTTAATACCCCTATTCTGGCAACCTCATTATTGTATGGCTCACACCCATTCATACACTTTTAGCTCTCAAGAAAAGATGTCAGTTTTTGTAAATTATATCTGATTTTTTATCTGTATGCTACAGACATGTTTTGCTAAAACAATATCTTCAGTTGATTACTAAGTAGACTGGCAAGTGTACTTTGGAATCCCTGTTAAAGATGGTTTTAGTGTGGGCTGTTGGCTTCTGTGTGTAAATAATTTCATGCAAGGAATGTCATAATATTATTCATTAAAATGAGATTCTATTTATATCAAAAAAATATTTTTGTAACTGTTTTGAATTGGGTCTAAAAATGCAACCACCACTTGTAAAATTCTTCCTTTTTAGGTTCTATTATATTTTTAATGCTTCCATTTTATCTTCTACAATCATTTCCATCTCTTAACTGTCAGTAATTCTTCAACTCTCTCTAATTATGAAAAATGTTTTCTTCCTTGATCCTCTAACTTGTTTATGATGTGACCTTTTATATCTAGATCAGTTATCCATTTAGAGCTTATTATAGCGTATGTATGCACACACACACATACAGTACTATACAACATGTATATATTATGGGAAACTGTGTAAACCTAATAGTAACCAGACTTCTCTCCAGTTTCTTTAATAGTTCTTATTGAATAATAAGTCCTTACTTCACAAGTTTGGTCTTTAGAACACTTGTGTTTTTTTAAATCTAAAGTGATTTTTAAAAATTATTTATTTTTAGTTTTCAGCATTCACTTCCATAAGATTTTGAGTTTTAAATTTTTTCTCCCTCTTTTTCCTCCCTGCCTCCCCACAATGGCGTGCAGTCTGATGCAGGCTCTACTTATACATTCATATTAAGCATATTTTCCCATTAGTCATGATGTAAATAACAATTAGAACTAATGGGAGGAACCACAAGAATGAAGCAATGAAACAAAACAACAAAGGAAAAGAAGAGTAAATAGTATGCTTCCGTTTGCATTCAGACTGCATGGTCTTTCTCTGTGTGTGGATAGCATTTTTCAACTTGAGACTTTTGGAGTTGGCCTAGATCCTTGCATTGTGAAGAAGAGCGAAGTCTTATCAAAGTCAGTCATCACACCGTGTGGCTGTTACTGTGTACAGTGTTCTCTTGGTTCTGCTCATTTCACTCTGCATCAGTTCATATAAGTCTTTCCAGGTTTTTCTGAAGTCTGTCTGCTCATCATTTCTTAAAGCACAATAGTATTCCGTTACATTCATATACCACAACTTGTTGAGCCATTCTCCCATTGATGGGCATCCCCTCAATTTCCAATTCTTTGCCACTACAAAAAGAGCTGCCATAAATATTTTTGTACATGTGGATGCTTTTCCCATTTTTATAATTTCTTTGGGACATAGCCCTAGAAGTGCTATTGCTTGGATCAAAGGGTATGCACATTTTTATAGCCCTTTGTGTATAGTTCCAAATTGCTCTCCAGAATGTT